GTTTTTTAAAGTTCCATTCGCAGCGTTAAAGGACGAAAGAGGAAAGTATTTATCAGAGTCTTTCAGGATTCGCATCGTTCCCTCTTTGTCGACTCTCAAGCTCATTCAGGACAGTCCAGCAGACTATCACAGTCAGACTGGTGCACTTATAGTGGGGGATCCTGAGGTTGGTGAGGTGCTTTACAAAGGAGATCTTTTGTGGGTAAAGAGGCTGCCTTTTGCAAGTGAGGAAGCAGAGATAGTTGGAGAACTGTTGGGTACTCAGCCTCTGCTCGGGAAGAAAGCAACAAAGGAGACGGTTCTCAAAAGCATACATTTAGTAGGTCTCATACATTTCGCTGCCCATGGTGATGCGGAACGAGGAGAAATTGTTCTTGCTCCTCCACCCATCATTGATAGAAAACCTCAAGAAGAAGACTACTTGTTGACCATGGCAGACATCTCACAAATTAGGCTACGAGCCAAACTGGTAGTCCTTAGCTGTTGTCACAGTGCAAAAGGACAGATCAGAACAGAGGGAGTGGTTGGAATAGCTCGGGCATTTTTAGGATCTGGTGCACGTTCAGTGTTGGTTGCACTGTGGGCCATAGAAGACGAAGCAACAAAACAGTTCATGAGTCGTTTCTACGAGCAACTTGTAGATGGTGAAAGTGCTAGTGAATCTCTTCACCAGGCCATGAAATGGATGAGAGAAAACGGATTCTCCAAGGTGCAGCAATGGGCACCTTTCATGCTGGTTGGAGATAACGTGACATTGGATTTTCAAAAGTTAAGGTTAGTAGAAACTTATTGACATCTTGGGTTTTGAGACAAAAATGGTCGAGTCCCGGCTCATCAAGAGTATCGAGGGTGTCCGCTAAATATGGATAAAGGGGTTAGATTATACCGAAACTGAGGTGTTGAGTCGGTTGTAGAGTGAAATACAGGTTTATTAACTGATTTGATAGATAAGTCAATTGACCCAGCACAGTACAGAGATTTCAAAGCTTCCGCTTCGTTGTTCTTAGCTCGGTAGATAAAACCAAATTTTTGAGCTTAATATGGAGTTCGCTGAAATACAAAATACAAGTTAACTGTGAAGGAGAGGCTTGTAAGCGGAAAGACAGAAAGGCGTGTTCAAATAAGAAAGGTCTACGATTATTAATGTTCTCCTGTTTTTTTTTTATCTTTCAGAGAAGCAAGCCATGAAACACACGCGAAATCTCCGATAGAAACCAAGTCAACAGAGTGACTGGCGAATATAAACTTTCTTTGGGACAAACCTTCAGTCGATAAAGTGATTACACTAACAGTTAACTATGATAAATATATTTTTGTGTCTAATTTTATAATTATCAGTTATGGCAAACTCATAGATCACCTATCAAACTAGCTAATCAAGAACTAATCAAAACCAAGTTGTGGTACCTTCTTACCCTTGCATTAGTATTTAAAATGTTTTGAATTTTTTTCCGGAGTTTTTATCTCCAGTAGACTCTGGCAGAGTTGGAAAAAAAATCATGAAAGCTGTTTAAGCAATAGAAAACGTTTTCCGTGTTTGCATAGCCTGATATAGACACGACAGGGGTTGGGAGAATTCGAGACAGTTATGCAAACCCGAGACGAAGTCGAGGGTTTGCATAACCGTCGAGAATTCTCCCAACGCCTCGAGTGTTTATATCAGGCTATGCAAACACAGGAAAAAAGTTTCCTATTGCTTTTATAAAATAAGTTTCCCGAGAAAAAAACGCAAAACCGTTTTGTATGGTTCTGATTAGTAACGGTAACAGGACTGAGTGGAGTCCAATTCGGTCTGTAATCATACGAGTGATTAACAAAATTGAACCTACTGCGTAGTGGGAGTCCGATTTGTTTAATCACGAGTATGACTACAGACCGAATTGGACGACACGAAGTTCTGTTACCAATTAATCAGAACTTTAACAAAATTTGTGATATAATAGGCTATTTTTTAAATCAAAACACAAGAAATTCGAAATTTTGTTTTGCTAGCAGTGAAAAAAAAAGCCATTTAAGCGCGCGCGTGATGGCGCGTACTGTCCAATTACTTAGGCATGACGCGTACTGTCCTATCAAACTGTCCAATTAAGGCTGAAATCAGGGCAGTTGATTGCCAATCAGATTTGAGACTTTTGTTATAGTTGTGATTAAAAGAGAAATTCTTACCAGTCGCAAAATTTGTCCACGAAGTCTTGCACACGTAATCAGTTCTTGTTTTGCAAAAAGATGCTTCGCAAAATACGGATTTTTCTGGCTTAAAATGTCAGCTTAAGCGAAGAAAAATTGACTCGCCTTCTTTGTAACGATTTTCCATGTTTCAGCCGTCGAAGGAATGGGTAAATAAAGTAAACTTGTCGAGTTTGGAACTCGAAAACTTTTTCAAATGTGTGCTTGCGTGATTAGCGCGCGAAAAGCCAAACAACTTGACGCCACAACCTTGCCACAACCATGTTTACATACTCTGATGCAAACACTCCTCTCGGCCAATCAGAGCGCGCGTACTATCTTAGTTATTTTATAAATCGAGATAGTTTAGGATGAATGTTTCTTGGTTAACCTGCCAAATCTGGAATAGCTTAAGCCTAGAACATAGAAATTCAGTATCCGAAGGAGAATGAAAGAATAATTATAGAAATATCACGAGAAAGCAGTGGAAATTTTTATCATTTTATAGTTTGATTTTCTTGTATATATTCGTTAGTGTTAGCAATAGCTCTTAATTGTTATTTTCGATATGGCCACTCGTTTACTAGTTTTTGCAGCTCTTCCTTGTTAACCTCTTTGTACATAATAAAGAGTATCATATCATGATTATTATTATTTGTTTATTATTATTATTGTCACAAATATATCGAAAACTAACCAATCCAAACTGCCAAATGTCCAGAGTAAACGAAGAACAAGTAAAATAATCACGACCTCATACATTGCTATAACAACTACGATGTCAACATAACCCTGGTCATAACAAATAGACCTTTCCCGCATTCAGCTACAGTGAAGCGACAATGAAACGAGGTGACAGTTTGGGTGGACAATTTAATAAATGTCATTGTATTGTGTCACTAATATCCACACACAATGCAATTTGTAATATATTGTCCACCCAAACCTAGACCTCCCTGGAGGATCATTACTTTGTTGTGGTCAGGGGGCTTGTGTACCTCAGTGACCCGGAGAGCTGTGCCAGTGGGAGCTTAGATCCTGGCAGGCCACCCGGACAAGTCGAAAGGTAGAGGTCAGACGAAAAGTGATCCACCAGCCCTCCAGGTTGAGGGTTGGGTACTGGGCTAACATTCCAGTCCCGTAGAATGTCTTTTCTTACGGAAACAGCAAAAGAAGGAGCCAAAACAACCGAAATGGGATGTAATGGGCTTCAAGAGGAAGCTGGCCCAGAAGAGACAGGTGTGGAGAACCTTCCTTGCTGCCCTTTATGCCTTCATGTCTTGCAAACCTAACCCATCATATTTCCAGTTTCGAAGTTTAAGAGCACGAGTTTTCTTTCGCCTGTTTGTTTAACCTTGTTTGCCTCATGGAAACCCGGAAGGCAGCTGAAACTAAACCCGATCGAAACAAAAAAATACACCAAGCAAATATATTACCGGTAGTAGGAGCAAAATTTTAGATTTAAAGGCATAAAATGAGCTTGAACAAAAAAAGGGGACGTGAAGGTATTTTTGCGTAAAGAGGGCATAATCAATAACTATTTACCATAACATCAAGGAGGCCATGGCCGTGCACAAGATGAGGCTATTTTCTAGCATATCCTGTACCATTTAACCTTAGCGCAGCAAGTGGTTTCGATAAGTTAAACGTCAGAACTAAAACAGTAGAATCTTGTGGTTTTCAAACCTTCGATTGCTTGAACCAAAACTGAAAAATATCCCATTCTCAAGCAAGTACTTTAATTTCACCCTACCATATAGGGATTCCAGTGTATGCGTACTCAGATTAGAGTTTTCATCATGGTTTATTTTCGTTCAAATGTGACTGTGTACCTTAGGGAGAAAACGTAACAATAGCACGTTTCAGCTCGTTCAATATCAAGAAATAAAGGATGACCTCTTGAAAGTATTTTCACTATGTTGGTATATTAAGGGAAGTTTCAACGGTAAATTCAGTTTTCTAAGTAACGTAAAAAGGCGACCTGGTAAGTACAGTTTATTTTTCTCTTTATTATGTTTATCGGCTTGTGTTCGTTTTCTTGTGACCGTGTGATAAAAAACAGCAACAGACTACAGAAAAACTGGATCGTCATAGGACTACCTCATTCGGTAGAGCGCTTGACTTCTGAGCGGGAAGTCGCAAGGTCAATCTCTGGGGCCGGGCCAATACTCGGGTTCTTAGAATAACTGAGAGATGAACGTACTGCCTTTGCTTAGCTTGTTCACCAGCTTTTTTAAATGTGAAGTATTGATTTAATTGAATTCTTCGAAATAAAACGGTTTAGTTTCTCAGTAATCAGTACTCAGTGGTCCCATTATTAATTTCACGACGAAAAGCTAGCAAACATAGTGAAGCCACTAATGAACTGGCGAACACTACTTCACTTGACTCACAAGTTTATTACTCTGTTTCACCGTAAGCCAATCGTGCTGAAAAGGCAAGCGCGACACAAATTTCTAGGACTACAGGAAAACGCAAGCGAAAAAAATACGGAAAAAAAGACTAACAAAATAGGAATTCTGGATGCACTTCTCTTAGCAATCTTACCGGTGTGCTCTTAACGCCATGGAAACGACGTGCAACTGAACCGTAGTATATGGAGACTCGCAACTAAAAGGCCTTTGTATATTTTCGCTTTGACACTCTGCAAATCCACAAAAAGAAGAGAGATGAAAATTTAACGCTGATAATCATTTACAACTTTGAGTTAGCGAAAGAGTTTGAAGAAAGGTTTAAAATTAAAACAAAGAAATCTTTATTCATGACTGCCACATTTCTGAATTTTCTCGTTGTTTATGTTTTTTCTCGTCTTTCTTAGCTCTAAAAAGACGGTCATGTACAGCAAAGAAGAATTTGTCCAGGTCATCAAGATTGCATATCGTGTTTCGTCGTACCTTTTAAGAACAAATCGTGTTCAAAAAGCCATCGAATTATGTAAGGAAAATTTGTTTCTTGTTAACCACAAGTTACTGAAAAGTGAAAAGGAGTTTGTCATTCGGTGCAAGATGATGATTCATATACAAATGTTTCTGGGGTACAAACACACTAAGGAACACAGCAATGCAATCGAAATTGGCAGAAAGATTATTGCCGCTTCTCGAAACACTGGCCAGAGAGATTTAGAAGGAGAAACGACCATTTTTGTGGCCCAATTATATAGACACCAGTGCGATTATAATGAAGCAACAGAGCTTTACACCAAAGCACTAAGCATCGCGACACAAACTGGGAACAAAGAAATGGAAGGACTTTGCTACATAAACTTAGGAAACATCTTTCAGTGTCTGGGTGTATGTGCCAAGGCTACAGAGTATCACGAAAAAGCGCTTGCAATCGCACAGGAAAATGGCAACAGAGAAACAGAGGTCGCATGCTATGGAAACCTCGTACGTACGTTTGCGTCCTTTGGAGAATATGTCAAGGCTAAAGAATATCAAGAAAAAGCACTTGTAGTCGTAGAAAAGAATGGCAATTGGAAAGAAAAAGCTGCATGCTATGGAAACCTAGGAAGATTCTCTTTCTCTCTCTGTGAGTATGCCAAAGCTAAAGAATATCAAGAAAAAACACTCGCAATTGCAGAAAAAGTTGGCGACAGGAAAACAAAAGCCGAATGCTATTTAGACCTAGGAAATATCTTTCAGTCCCTTGGAGAATATTTCAGGGCTAATGAATATTACGAAAAAGCACTTGCAATCGCAGAAAAAATTAGCGACAGGAAAACAGAGGCTGCATGCTATGCAAACCTAGGAAGTATCTTTGAGTATGTTGGTGAATACGTCAAGGCTAAAGAATATCAAGAAAAAGCACTTGTAGTCGTAGAAAAGAATGGCAATTGGAAAGAAAAAGCTGCATGCTATGGAAACCTAGGAAGAATCTCTTTCTCTCTTTGTGAGTATGCCAAAGCTAAAGAATATCAAGAAAAAACACTCGCAATTGCAGAAAAAGTTGGCGACAGGAAAACAAAAGCCGAATGCTATTTAGACCTAGGAAATATCTTTCAGTCCCTTGGAGAATATTTCAGGGCTAATGAATATTACGAAAAAGCACTTGCAATCGCAGAAAAAATTAGCGACAGGAAAACAGAGGCTGCATGCTATGCAAACCTAGGAAGTATCTTTGAGTATGTTGGTGAATACGTCAAGGCTAAAGAATATCAAGAAAAAGCACTTGCAATCGCAGAAAAAATTAGCGACAGGAAAACAGAGGCTGCATGCTATGCAAACCTAGGAAGTATCTTTGAGTATGTTGGTGAATACGTCAAGGCTAAAGAATATCAAGAAAAAGCACTTGCAATCGCAGAAAAAATTAGCGACAGGAAAACAGAGGCTGCATGCTATGCAAACCTAGGAAGTATCTTTGAGTATGTTGGTGAATACGTCAAGGCTAAAGAATATCAAGAAAAAGCACTTGCAATCGCAGAAAAAATTAGCGACAGGAAAACAGAGGCTGCATGCTATGCAAACCTAGGAAGTATCTTTGAGTATGTTGGTGAATACGTCAAGGCTAAAGAATATCAAGAAAAAGCACTTGCAATCGCAGAAAAAAATAGCGACAGGAAAACAGAGGCTGCATGCTATGCAAACCTAGGAAGTATCTTTGAGTATGTTGGTGAATACGTCAAGGCTAAAGAATATCAAGAAAAAGCACTTGCAATCGCCAAAACCATTGGCGACAAGAAAACAGAGGCTACATGCTATGCAAACCTAGGAAGTATCTTCGTGTCTGTTGGTGAATACGTCAGGGCTAAAGAATATCAAGAGAAAACACTTGAAATCGCAGAAAAAATTGGCGACTGGAAAACAAAAGCTACATGCTTTTTAAGGCTTGGAAGTATATTTCAGACTCTCGGTGAATATGTTAAGGCTAAAGAATATCAAGAAAAGGCACTTGTTATCGCAAAAAAAATTGGCGACAAGGAAACAGAAGCTGCATGCTATAGAAATCTGGAGAGAAACTCTTACTCTCTCTGTGAGTATGTAAAAGCTAAAGAATATTACGAAAAAACAGTTGCAATTGCAGATAAAATTGCCAGCAAGGGAACAGAAGCTGCATGCCGTGTACGCCAAGGAAGACTTTTTCTTTCACTCGGTGAATTTGTGAAGGCTAAAGACTGTCTTGAAAGAGCGCTCGCATTGCACAGAGAGACAGGGGAAATAAAAAGAGAGCCGCTACTTCACTTGCTTATTTCACTTTGTTTGATGAATGCTGGTAACATGCCTGAAGCTAAATCTCATCTCTTTGCTTGCATTAGTAAGGGAGAGGTAATTCGACGTTTTCTGAAAGATCATGAACAATTCAAGATATCGTATTTTGACAAGGTTGGTTTTCTTTATCGAATTATCAGTCTTGTGCTTTGCTTTAGGGGGAATCCTCGTGAGAGTCTTCACGCGGAGGAGATTGGACGAGCAAGAGCCCTGGCAGACCTAATGTCAAGCCAGTACTCAATAGAAAACGAAATATCGGTCCATACACAGGCACAGGCGCCGGCTGGTATTGAAAAGATCATGAAAACACAAAATAACTGTGCTTGCCTTTACATTTCATACTTTGAAAAATTTATCAACCTGTTTGTTATCAAAGCAGACAAAGAATTACTTTTGCGATCAACAATCGTGAAATTCTGTTTCGCTGGGTCAGAAAGCAGAGTGTCTGACATTTTTAACACCGAAAAATTCAGAGAGGTACATTGCTTAGCTCCAGGTCAGTGCGAGGATCGATCCTGGCTTCCTTCAAATGTTCGCTCCGAGCAGACGCGCAAGTCATCTCAAGGAAATAGCCTCACGGGGTGCCGCCCTGTAGAAGAGGATGAAGACGAACAGCAGCCCATCCTTACTCTTGCAGATGGCTACAGAATGATCATCGCTCCTGTAGCCGACTTTCTTGATAAACCTGAAATCATCATTGTCCCTGATCGCTTGTTCTTCCGAGTTCCATTTGCAGCGTTAAAGGACGAAAGAGGAAAGTATTTATCAGAGTCTTGCAGGATTCGAATCGTTCCCTCTTTGGCGACTCTCAAGCTCATTCAGGACAGTCCAGCAGACTATCACAGTCAGACTGGTGCACTGATAGTGGGGGATCCTGAGGTTGGTGAGGTGTTGTACAAGGGAAATCTTCAGCACGTATCAAGGCTGCCTTTTGCAAGCGAGGAAGCAGAGATGGTCGGAGATTTGCTGGATATACAACCCCTTCTAGGAGAGCAAGCAACAAAGGAGACGATACTCCAAAGCATACATTCAGTAAGTCTCATACATTTTGCTGCACATGGTGATGCGGAACGAGGAGAAATTGTTCTTGCTCCTCCACCCTTCATTGATAGAAAACCTGAAGAAGAAGACTACTTGTTGACCATGGCAGACATCTCAAAAATTCGGCTGCGATAGAAAACACTTGAAATCGCAGAAAAAATTGGCGACTGGAAAACAAAAGCTACATGCTTTTTAAGGCTTGGAAGTATATTTCAGACTCTCGGTGAATATGTTAAGGCTAAAGAATATCAAGAAAAGGCACTTTTTATCGCAAAAAAAATTGGCGACAAGAAAACCGAAGCTGCATGCTATGGAAATCTGGAGAGAAACTCTTACTCTCTCTGTGAGTATGTCAAAGCTAAAGAATATTACGAAAAAACAGTTGCAATTGCAGAAAAAATTGCCAGCAAGGGAACAGAAGCTGCATGCCGTGTACGCCAAGGAAGACTTTTTCTTTCACTCGGTGAATTTGTGAAGGCTAAAGACTGTCTTGAAAGAGCGCTCGCATTGCACAGAGAGACAGGGGAAATAAAAAGAGAGCCGCTACTTCACTTGCTTATTTCACTTTGTTTGATGAATGCTGGTAACATGCCTGAAGCTAAATCACATTTCTTTGCTTGCATTAGTAAGGGAGAGGTAATTCGACGTTTTCTGAAAGATCATGAACAATTCAAGATATCGTATTCTGACAAGATTGGTCATCTTCATCGAATTATAAGTTTTGTTCTTTGCTTCAGGGGGAATCCTCATGAGAGTCTTTACGCGGAGGAGATTGGACGAGCAAGAGCCCTGGCAGACCTAATGTCAAGCCAGTACTCAATAGAAAACGAAATATCGGTCCATACACAGGCGCCGGCTGGTATTGAAAAGATCATGAAAACACAAAATAACTGTGCTTGCCTTTACATTTCATACTTTTCAAAATGTATCAACCTGTTTGTAATCAAAGCAGACAAAGAATTACTTTTGCGATCAACAATCGTGAAATTCTGTTTTGCTGGGTCAGAAAGCAGAGTGTCTGACATTTTTTACACCGAAAAATTCAGAGAGGTACGTTGCTTAGCTCCAGGTCAGTGCGAGGATCGATCCTGGCTTCCTTCAAATGTTCGCTCCGAGCAGACGCGTAAGTCATCTCAAGGAAATAGCCACACGGGGTGGCGCCCTGTAGAAGAGGATGAAAACGAACAGCAGCCCATCCTTACTCTTGCAGATGGCTATAGAATAATCATCGCTCCTGTAGCTGACGTTCTTGATAAACCTGAAATCATCATTGTCCCTGATCGCTTGTTCTTCCGAGTTCCATTTGTAGCGTTAAAGGACGAAAGAGGAAAGTATTTATCAGAGTCTTTCAGGATTCGAATCGTTCCCTCTTTGGCGACTATCAAGCTCATTCAGGACAGTCCAACAGACTATCACAGTCAGACTGGTGCACTGATAGTGGGAGATCCTGAGGTTGGTGAGGTGTTGTACAAGGGAAATCTTCACCACGTATCAAGGCTGCCTTTTGCAAGCGAGGAAGCAGAGATGGTCGGAAATTTGCTGGATATACAACCCCTAATAGGAAAGAAAGCAACAAAGGAGACGATACTCCAAAGCATACATTCAGTAAGTCTCATACATTTCGCTGCCCATGGTGATGCGGAACGAGGAGAAATTGTTCTTGCTCCTCCACCCTTCATTGATAGAAAACCTGAAGAAGAAGACTACTTGTTGACCATGGCAGACATCTCAAAAATTCGGCTGCGAACCAGATTGGTAGTCCTTAGCTGTTGTCACAGTGCACAAGGACAGATCAAAACGGAGGGGGTGGTTGGAATTGCTCGCGCGTTTTTAGGATCTGGTGCACGTTCAGTGTTGGTGGCACTGTGGGCCATACAAGACGAAGCAACAAAACAGTTCATGGGTCGTTTCTACGAACACCTTGTTCGTGGAGAAAGTGCCAGTGAATCTCTTCACCAAGCCATGAAGTGGATGAGAGAAAACGGATTCTCTGATGTGGAGCAGTGGGCACCTTTTATGCTGGTTGGAGATAATGTGACATTGGATTTTCAAAAGTTGCGGTAAGTAGAAACATATTTTTTCTGAGTCGATAAAAGTAGTCGTTTGGGAGGCGAAATACAGGTTTTATTAAATGAAATGATATGTCAATTGGCCCAGCACAGTGCAGAGATGCCAAAGCTTTCGTTTCGTTGCTTGCACATCCGTAGATAAAACCCAATGTTTGGGCTTAATATGGAGTTCGCTACAATACAAAATACAAGGTCACTGTGAAGGAGAGGCTTGTAAAGAGGAAAGGCAGAAAGGCGAGTTGGAATGAGAAAGATCTATTAATACAGTGTTCTCCCTAAATTTTAGCTCAGCAAGTAAGGGAACATTCATGGCCGGTAAGGCAAAAAATATGCCCCAGAGGTGCAATTTCCTAAGGGGGGAGGGGGGCGGGGTGAGAGAGTGGAGTGAGAGACATGGCCTCACCCTAAGAGGAGCTAAGTTCTTTGAAACGTCATTCCCTCATTTTTTAGACCTATTTTACGCAAATCGGCCGTTGATATCTTTACACAACAATTTAAAACGAATTTGATCCCAATAATTTTATTCTGTATTCACTGTTCTTTTTCGAAAACACGTGGCCCATAAAAAGAAAAGTTGTGTATACTTTATCAGTGCCAGATCCAGACCTTGAGATGGGGCGAGGGGCGCGGTCTCCAAAAAACTTTTTTTCGGCCCACAATTTTAGTTAACCTTCAAGCGGTTGCGGGTGGTAAATTTTACCAGTTACTGCCTGATAAGAAGAACACTGATTAATAATGTTTTCCTGTCTTTTATCTTTTAGAGAAGCAAGTCATGAAACACGCTCTAAATCTCAGATCGAAACCAAGTTAGTGGAGTGACTGGCGAATAAGAACTTTCTTTAGGACAAGCCCTTAGTCGATAAAATGAACAATAACGATTAACTATGATATATATATATCTTTGTGTCTAATTGTGTCTAATTCTGTAAATAACAGTTCGGGCAACATCTCGGATCACCTATCAAATTAGCTAATCAAGAACTATTTGAAACTAAGGGAAGGTGCAGAGTCAAGACGGCGTCTAAGTTTTAAAATGTTTTGAATGAAGGAGTCAGGACTTTAAAAGACGCTTTAGAAAACCAAAACACACGAAAGAGCACATAAAAAAGGAATCTAAGAGGTATTTCCTCCACAATTCATAAACTGGGTGAACTTACGCCATATGCTCTGAAATTTTCAGTGAGTGGAGTTTATTTTTTGCTTCAAAAACGTTATTGCAGATATAAAAGGTATTACAATGTACTACAAAACAAGACAGTAAATATATAAATAAATAAATTACACTACTAGCACCAGTAACAAAAAGAAAATTAATTAGAGAGTGAAATTTGTTAATTCCGTGCCCTTTGGATTGAGATATACATTTATGTACAATTAACTTTGCCTTTAACAAAGTCAAAAAACGGGTCAATGTTCGGGGTTCTCTGTACGAATCTCTGATTAAAGACGTGCCTCTTTCCCAGGAGAATGAAATAATTGAAATTAGAGTTTCTTTGTCTTCTGGATTGTAATCATAGAGAATGCTTAATTCATCTACAAGGTAACCGTCTCCGCTTTGATGATTCCACCAAGAGATTATCTTTGCCCAGAAACTGTTAATTTCAGCACAATTGACTAGCTTACGGGCAAGTGTTTCTAAAGAGTTACAATGAACACCCACTCTAAGCTGTCAAAAGCTTTTTCGAAGTCTATAAAAAGGGCGATGCCTTCTTGATTTTGCTCTGCTGTAAAATGTAGAAGATCTGATATCACCCGGATTTTTTCTCCCATAAAACTTCCTTCACTATAACCAGTTTGTGCGTCACTTATGATTGCTGGGTGGACTTTTTTCAAGGCAAGAGCTTTGGTCGCAATTTTGTAATGTACATTCAAGGAAGAGATGGGCCGCCAACTCTTGAGCAACGATAAATTTTTAAGTGGAGTTTTCGATTTACGGATACAATAAACATGTCAAAATCCCACAACTATGAGCGTAATTTGTCTCCCATGATATTAATAGGCGATCAAATGGTACACCCGTGAAATTAGCGAATAATTTCACTTGCGTTTTGTCCAAATCATGATTATTTTCCCGAGCCTTAATTAGAATTTGAACAAAACGCGTGTGATTTCAGGAAATAATTTCACTCGTCACCATTTGATTACAGATACACTTACCTCCCTGATAAAGCTAGACGAGCCACGTTAGGGGACAACACGTTCTCCTCACCATTTACATGTAGATATTAGGAGCAAAATTTATGTTTCCAGCTCTTACCTTTGCCAAAGTTGTCATTAAAACTGAAACCAGTCGTCCACTGAACGAGACCTGAAATTTCATGCAGCGCAAAAATGGATTACTGCCCTTTAAAACGATACCGTTGCTGCCTCGGTTATCAAGTGGGCTAATCTGGATACTAGTCAAGGGTAGAACACGTGTGCTTTACATGTTAAATGAATCACGTGAACTACGGGTAAAAGAGATCAAAGCGTTTTAGTTATCCCACGAAAATAGCCCCAAAATCTGGTGCCAAATTTGTGAGGTCTTTCTACCAGAAATACATCAAGATTTCCAAAACCCCCCTCCAAATGGATTTTTACGCTGTTTAAACCTATCACGTTAATTTCAGTTTTCGCTATTTTGTTGACAAAATATAACTTAGGAGACCTTATCTATACATTAAGGCTTACATGGAGTATCCTCCTTGCTTAGAATATCTGAAATGAATCGTATCTGGACTGAAGATGACAAAAATGAAAGTGGATATGATACTCACTGTTGAGTGAACAACCTAGTAAGCAGTTGAACCTAAAAAAATGTACTTTATTCCTTTGTTGTTGATTTGATGAACGAAAACCCCGTGAGACGAAAAGATCTAGGCAATAACGGTCATTAGCCACAATATTTTTTGTTAAAGCTCTCCAAGGTTTATTATAACAACAGAGACACAAGGTAAACAAAGCGAAGGTAAATTGAATCTTCCTTTACCTTTCCTGGCGCAGTTTGCAATACCACTTCATAAGTTAAGGCTTCAAATGCCTGGGAAAAGTTTAAAATACATAAGAAAGTTTTAAACGCGGTGGAGATGTGAGTAAATACAAAAACAAAGGAGCGTTTCCACATGAAGTCACGGCGGCCGTATTGGTGTTCCAAAACATTGAAACTCTTTTCTCGTTTAAACGCTTTCTTTTATTTCAACAAATTTCGATAGATGCTGACCACGAGCTAGCCTGCGAGGAAGCTCTCCTATTTGGGCGAGCGAAGCAAGCCTCGCGAGAACAATCTGCCCCTCGCGGCTTCGCCGCTCGCTCGCCTAAATAGGAGGGCTTGCTCGCAGGCTAGCCACGAGCGTGAGAACGGTCTTTAGTTAACATTTTATTAGCAAGCGTGTCCTAGAAAAAATAATAAAACAAACAAATATTTCCTCAAACAAGAGCACATTCATTAATCTCAACAATTTAAAGGCAAGGATATGAGCAAGGTTGACCAACGTGCTAATGCATCTTCTCATGTGGGATCCAGTTTTCGTCGCAACTACTGAGCCACCCGTTAGCGTGGATGGGCATGATCCTGGCCAAAGGCTCAAGCAACAAGAAGGCCTAGCTTTAATAACATAAGGCCAATATTTTGATCGCGGAAAGCGAAAAATGCAACTTTTTAAAAGGTACGTCAAAGTTGAGTACTTTTTCAAATTCTCAGTTCGATGTGACGGGAAATGGTGGAAGTAAGTAAGGAAAGAGAAAAAGATTGAAACATAAATAAATGGTCAGGAAAAGGAGCTTACCTCAAAATACTGTACAATATTTTGAACTGTACATCCATTGTCATGCGCAGGGGACGCATATTCTCCTATGACCCAAACCTGTCGGCAAGACAAGAAATTCACACAAGTTTGAGCCTTGTTTTCCGACATTATAACTCTAGGTTCTTAACAAATGTGAAAATTGAATGAAATTAGAATAACAAAACATTTGTTTTGTGGAGCAAACATAACTCCAAAGCTCTAGGTGTAAAACGAGAACAGATGAATTTCGTCAACAGGGAGTTGAACTCAACACTTTTCCATTACGAGGCTATAGTTACATTGTACCACAACCTACCACCAGCACTCATATAGGTCAGGTGCCCAGGGCAAATCACATGATCAAGTCTACCTTAGTCAACTGGTAGCCAATAATTTCTGGACCTTTCTAAACGAAATGACAAATGGTAAGCACTCCAGACAGGGTTGCTCGATGGATGAATGAAGGGTTTAGTTAATAAATAAAATGTAGTGTTGCGGAGGCGGTTACAAATTAATTAAAACAGCTCAATTCATAAAACGAACTGTTTTTGCTCCAAAGATAGCTGCTTGCTTTAACACAGGGTTAAGCCTAAACACGCGTTCAAGAAACTAAACCAAACTTTTAACGCTGCATAGGTTAGCAGTAACCGGTAGACATTCGAGGAACTCGGGCCGAATTGATTACCACCACAGCATGCAATGAAAACAACGCGTCCACGATTTTCCTTAGTAATAGTACACCTTACAACACCTGAACGTGTTCAAAAGATAATGTATTCTTCTTACTAAGTGAACAAAAAAGTCTTCTTTGTTTGGTCCTAGGTTTTTCAGGCCGCTTATAAAGTCCATGATATCTTGTTGATACTTGACAATCAGGTTTGGATATTTCTGACAAAGTTGAACCAACCTCTCCGATAATAATCTAAAAAATACAACAAACATTTTTCCAACAATAAGAAAAAACAAACTGACCAACAGCTTTTTTCCTGTGGTGGTTAAGCAACCTCTCCATTTGGGAGAGTCGCGAGAATTCACGCGAGATCCGCGCGCGAAAGGAGACGCGAGTAAGCTACGTCGCATGTTCCCTCGTGGCTCATTTTGCCATAATTGGAGAGCTTGTTCGCAGGTTATGGTTAAGCTTGAGGTTTAACCCACTTTACACAACACCACAGTGAAACAATAAAACCCGTGTTTTAGACCCTCACTAATTAAGAACCTGATAGGCTACAAC